CACCCGAAAGGTCTCACGATGGCCGCTCATCCTTGCAAGAGACTCCATTTTACAGGCGGGTAACTGAGGCTGGGGAGAAAAGGCTCATGGGAAGTCTCTGCGGAAGGATTAGGCTGTATGTATGTGAGGGGAAAGGCGGATTTGGGGGTCTGTGCCCCCATGTTTGGAAGAGGCTGGGGGCCGGGGGTGGGGATCATGCAGGGCTTCTGGAATATCTCGCTGAATGGTGAACGATAGAGCGTAGGTTGGGTGCTGAGGGTCTAAATCCGTAGGCAAGCAGCTCATCAGGAAATCGGAACTACCTGAAAACAAGTTAGGTCTGTATCTCAGTCTTTCTTTCTGTGTCCTGTCGTAGAATAAAGAGCCAAGATGGATATTCACAGTGTGGTGAGTGAGGAGAGTTTCAGAAAGCCTGGTTTGGCCCAGCTGGGCAGGGGATCCCACTCCCCAAAAACGGGGACAGAGCAGCTCCGAAGGGACAGTTTTTGTCAGCAGGGGATGAAAAGCTTTATGTTCTCCCTCTTCCTGCATTGAAGAGGGTTGGACTAGATGATCCTTGGGGTTCCCTCCAGCTCTACAGTTCTGTGATTCTTCTCCCCCGCCTTGGTTCTAACTCTCGGACCTCCCACCACTCACTCGGTGTTATTTTTAAGCACATTAATTGAAAAAGGGCTCCTGGCTGTGCTCTGCCGTCAGAGCTGGAGGCAGCGAAGCTTCTCAAGAACTCCAGTTGCTGGAAACCTCTGGAGGGGAAAGGGACATCGTGCACGGATCCTGCTTGCAGAGTTTGAGGAACCTGGACTAGATCCCGCAGGGATCTCACGTTCTTATGCTTCTGTGTGGCAGCAGATTCCAAGAGATGCAATATGGCCAGAGGCATGGCTTGCCCAGCCCCCTAATCCTTGGGGTGGGGGCTTGCCCCATGCAGTAGCAGTGAGGTCTCAAGTGCTGTAGGACTTCTCGGGAGGAGAGAGAGGCCTCAAAGGGCAAGGAGCCCGACATCTCTGGGGACACAGGCCAGCCTCAGAAAATGGAGCCACACTCCTGCTCAGAAAAACAGGGCAGCCTCGGGAAGCCCAAAGGCAGATGGGTATTTGCAGGGGGAGAGGGGACCCCAGAGAAGCCCACTGACCCACGCCCTGCAGTGCCAGCCGTGGCCTCCAGAGGGCAGTGTTGGCTCAGCAAAGATCCTGGCTCGCCTGCAGGTGCTTTGGGAAGGAAGAGGATGCTGGCCAGGAAGAGTCCGGCTTGGCTTCTGCTCCAGGAAGATGGAGGCGGCTCTTCTGCTACTCCAGAGGAGGCGATGGCGACCAATGTCTTTCATTGACCAGAATGGTAGTTCCGACTGAAGACTAGGGAGGGTTTTCTGAGAGCAGGAGCTGTGCTCCCCCTGAAGGAGGTGGTCTCTAAAAGAGGCTTCAGCTGCGTTTCCTGCATTGCAGGGGGTTGAGCTGGATGACCCTTGGGGGCCCTCCCAGCTCCTATGGTTCCCCAACCTGGTGCCCTCTGGGAGTTGCTGGGGTGCGGCTGGTCAGGGGTGGTGGCAGCTGCAGTCCGGCAGCATCTGGGGGGCACCGGGATGGGGAAGACCGCTTTGCCCGCATTTGCATTCTAGAACATGGGTTGGGCGGGCAGAGAGGGGCAAAGCGGAGAGGGGGGCCCTTTCTTGGGAACTGCCTGAGCTGCTAATTCTCTGGCTGGCGGGTAGCAGGAAGGAGCCCATTTGCACTGGGGGGGGGGCGAGGTGGAAGGCAGTTGTTTCTGGTCTGAGCCCCGAGGCAGGGCGAGGCTCGGAGCAAGCGGGCTTTATTCCGGGTCTAAATACGCAGCAGCAGACCCGGCGCCGTGGGGCGCATGTTCCGAAACATCTCGGCTGGCCTACGGTTGCGCCAGAGCGCCGCTTGCTGGCCAGGCACTCTTTGCATGCGCAGAGGCGAATTGGGGTACCAGATGGAGAGGAGTTAGCGCCCCCTTGCAGCAAAAACGGCAGCGGGCCCGTCACGCCCTCGGAGCTGAGGAGAGGAGAAACGAGGCAGAAAAGACTGCGAGGGGGCGCATTTCAGTCCCGTCCCCTTCACGGACTCTGCGGCCGACCTTTAGACGGCCCATTGGAGAAAAGCGGTGAGCCCTTGAATTGCAGGAAGATAGATAGATAGATAGATTAGATAGATAGATAGATAGATAGATAGATAGATAGATAGATAGATAGATAGATAGATAGATAGATCCTGCCGTGTGTGTGAATGGGCTTACCAATGCCAAGAATTCTGTGTTATCAACCACCACTGGACTCTGCACGCCACCCCCCAGTAAGCCGCTGCTGTTTTGTTCTGTTTCCTCCGTTTCCTTTCCTTCTCACCTGTTCTCCCCCTCCTCCGCCGGTGACGAAGAAGGTTGCATTGCAGGGGGTTGAGCTAGATGACCCCCGGATCCCAATGTCTTCCGTGAACTCCCAGGGAGAGACTCTTTGAGGCCAGGGCAGCTCCTTTCACAATAAACGGCGTCGCCTTCAAGGTGCCACAGGACTCTTTGCTGCTGCTGCTATGCGCAGGGAGGTCGGGGGTCGGTTCGTGATCCTTGCCAAGTGATGGCAACCAGCAGCCGGGGAGGGGAGGGGGGTTAACAAGCGGAGGCGTCCCCCGCAGGTAAGTTAACCCGGGACGAGCCTGGGCCAGCAGCCCTGTTCCGAGAAGCGCGGGAGCGGGGACCCCCGGCCTGGGGCTGCAGAGGGCGGGGGCATCGGGGTGGGGAGAGGAGGGAGATCCGCAGCTGCCCCGGGGGAACTTCAGGCTGCTCAGCCGCTGGCCAGCTTCCCCGGGCCGTCGTGGCTTCCGCGGGCGGCTGTCATTTCGCATCGGGGCCGCTTGGGAAGAGGGCGCTGCGGTCTCCTCATTCGGGCATCATCGGAAGGTCGTGCAGCCTCGCGAGGGCCCGACTACGTGCCTCCAGGGAGCCCACGATCCCGCGGGCACCACATTGGAGACCCCGGACAGGCGGAAGATCGGTGTGCCTGCGCAAAGGAAAGCAGCAACCTGCCTCTTTCATGCCCCTCCGACACTCCTCCCCCCCGACAATGTATTTGGGGGGCATGGAAAGGTTTCAGGCAGGGACCTCGGAAGAACAAAGGCAGCCCCCTTAATTTGGGGGGGCACACCTGAATGCCTCTTGCTGCCTCCCTCCCTGACAGGCCATCCATCTCTTTCAGAAGTAGGGGGCGGCCGGGGGTCGCAGCTGCTCTGCCTCGCAGCCCCCGAGTCAGGGGCGAGGAGGGGACGAGCTGGGTATTCAGAGCCCGGGCGACCCTCTTCGGTGGCCTCTGACCTGCCCGGGCGCCTGAATGGGGCGGGGGGGGGGAGACAAAAGAGGGGCTGAGGGAGGTCGCTCTTTGTCTTGGGGGATGAAAGGGCGCCCGGGGAGGGGAGGGGGCTTGCCGAGACCCTCGCTTTCTCTGCCGGCCTGGACTTGCTCAAAGGAGACAGGAAAAGAGAATGATTATTTGGAAGGGGGCGTGTTGGGAACCGTTTTCTCCTGCGCCCCGTCTGCGCCATCCCTTTAAAGCGCTCTGGTCCCGCTTTCAACAGGCATGGCTCCGCTGCCCCCCCCCCATTTTGGGGAACTGTAGTTCGGGGCGCTTAGAGTTGAGATTCCCCCATTGCGCAAGACTGAGCTACAATTCCTACCGTTCCCTCGGAAGAGGGTCTGGTTTATAAGCTGCTCTGGGAATTGTAGTGGCAGGAGGAACAGGGCTCTCCTAAGGCTTCTCAACAGCACTCTGAACGAACTACAACTCCCAGGATTCTTCTGGGGTTGCCCTGCCTGCTTTTAAGCAGTAGGAAGCCGCCTTCTTGACGGTGGGACCCGCTCCTGGTCTCGTCCGCTGGAGCCTTTCTTCACGTGCTGGGGAGGGAAGGTCTCCCCATCAAAAGAGGATCCAACCCATTCCTTGCTGGGGGGGGGGCCTCTGGCTGTGTATGTGTCAGGCGCCCCCCTCCCTTACATTAAGCAAAGCTAGCGGCCCATCCATCTCCCTATTCTCAGCTGCCACAGTGGCCTCTGGGTGCCCCCGGAGCCCAAACCACTTTTTCAGGGGGAAATGTACCCAGAGAAAGAGCAGGCAGGCAAGCAGCGCCCCCCCCTTTGTACCTCTGCAAACAGCCATGGGGGACGGGGGGGGGGAGGAGAAAGCGGAATATTCTCTTGCACAGACACAGAAAGGGAATCTGCTGCCTGAAATTAACCTGTCTCACATATTTTACTTCTCAGTGTTTCAATGCACAGGTAAATCCCGGGAAATTCCTAGGTAGAAGCAAAGAATCCAAGCCGGTTAAGCAGGAAATTGTTCTTAAGTAGATTGACAAAAGGCTTGATTATTTTGGGGTGAGGTTGTTTGTTTTGGGTCACTTAACCCTGAGAATGGGGATGTGTGTCTATGGCAGACCAGAGATAAAAAAAATAAATCACATAAGAGGAGTCCCTCTGCTGGATTAGGCCAAAGGGGCCCCTCTAGTCCAGTCTCCTCTTCTCTCAGTGTTCACATATACCTAGGATAGACTGCCTCTGGACCTGGAGGCTCCACAAGAGCACCAGAAGAACCTGGCTGCTGCTAGACCAGGCCAAAGGGGACCAGCAGGTCCAGCCGCCTCTTTTCACAGTGAGCAACCAGACACCACAAGCGGACTCTGATCCCAGCAGCAGCAGCAGCAACACTCCTCTCCCAGTCTGGGATTCAGAAGCATCACTGCCTCCCATAGTTTGGGCAGAACACAGACACCCTGGCTAGTAGCCCCTGGAGAACATGCAGGGCTCAGAAACACCACCAGCAGATTTGTTTCAAAAAACGAGGGTCTCTCTTCCCAACACTTTCTGAGTGAAACATGCCAGAGGTTCCTGGATTTTGAGGGTGCAACTGAACCGTTTATGTGCATGGCCTTTTTCGTGTGGGGGCAGGTGTCGTTGGAAGCAAAAGGAAGAAAAAAGGGCAAGGCAGACAAAAATGTAGACACTTTTTTAATGAGACATTTATTAGGAAGGAAGGCAAACATCAAAGAGGTGGCTTTTGAACAGGAGACCCAGTGCTCACACAGGGAGGTGGGGGGGTGGGGTTTGTTTTGGGGGAGGGAGGAAGTGGTTATATCCTTTTTCTTTTGTTAGTACAAGGGTAGCAAATAAATACTTTTTAAAAATCCTAGCAATTAACACAGAAGGTCCAGAGGTAAGAAGGCACCTCAGTTTGGTGGGTGACACTCAGCTAAATTACACCTTTGACGCTAACGAGATCCGGTGGCCCAGAGAGCAGGCCTGGCCGTCAAGATGCTCAGCTTGAAATGAAATGGAAACCTGGACAGCCTGTTTGGTTTCAGTTCCCTTTCCCGAGGTGCTGAGCAAGAGGGGGCTCAGAATGCAGGGGTTGCCTCAGGGGGCCCAGGAAAGTGGCAGCCTTGCAGAGCAGAGTTGGAAGGGGCTCCGAGGGTCATCCAGTCCAGCCCCCAGCAATGCAGGGATTTCCGTGGGAGGTGCAGGGGTGGAGGGGAGACTGGGTTGTGCCCCCAGGAGGGAGGAAAAGAGAGGTCAGTGCTAGGGGGACTCTGGCACGCACACACCTCCCCCCAGCCTGATCCCAAATCCCACGACCGGATTCTGAAACAAGGGGATTCTCTGTCTGCAACCCCGAGGGCGGCAGGGGGGAAGGGGTGGGGGTCACGGACCCTTAGCAGACAAAAGGGAGGCTGGACCCCAGAGGAGACTTGAAGAAGGGGGGAAAGGCTGCTCTGATGGGGCGGGGGGGGGCATCACAAGGACAGAGCCTGCTTTATCCGCCCCCTCTCAGGCCGGAGGGAATGTGATGAAGAGCCAGCTGCTCTGCTTAAGTCTTTCTGCATGTAGCACCCTCTGAGCATGGGCAGAGAGCGAAAGGGTGATGGGGAGAGCAGGCATGGGGGGGTGGGGCTGCCGTGACCCAGAGTGGAAGATCCCTGCCCACTGGACCCTGCTGCCCCTGCCTCCCCAAATCCAACCGCCACCCCACAAGCAGGCCTCGCTCACTCCCGGACGTAAATCCTTGTGCAGACGACATCGTCGGCCATCATGGTCTGGAAAAAACAAAGAAAGAGGAAATCAAAGAGAGGAAAAACGAGAGAGAAGGGGGGATGTATCCCTCCAACGGTCCTCCTTAAGGTGTTGGCAGGGACATTGCAATATGGGGAAAAGTTGTTCAGCCCCCATGCTGGCCCCACCTGAAACAGACTGTGTGCCTCACTCTGGGTGGGGAGGAGAGGCAGCACACCCGGTTCTCAGTTCTGGAGCTGAGGAAGACTTGCAGGGGCCTCGTTCCTCGTTTCCTACTTTCTAAGAGTAAGTCTGCTCTGCTTCTAAGTCAAAGGAGGCGCAAGGGGGTCTAGCCCAGGGACGGAGCCCCTGCCTGGCATGCAGAAGGCCCCTGGCTCCATCCTCACCGACAGCATCTCCAAATAAACCTTGCCAGGAAGTGTCAAGAAAATGGAGCCAAGCACTTTCCTGTGTCCCTGCTCAAGTGTCCTAAACTGCAAGGGGTGTGTGTGTGTGGACCTGGGGGTGGGACAGGGATAGGGTGGGAGGGAGGGAGGCTCCCTTACCAGAATGAGCTCCCCATCGTTGGTCATCTCCCTGGACCAGCCTGTCTTGGGGCCGTCGCCTTTCAGCAATCGCTGCTCACAGACCATCTTGTTGTTGCTTTCCCACTTGGCCAAACTCTGTGGAGAGAACAAAGGGGAGGAGGAAGAGCCCCCCAGCCAGTGAGATGTGGAGCCTGCCAGCAGCCGACAAAGGGCTGACCCCCTCCCCATCAAAACCCCCACCTCTGCCCCCAAAAGGCGCTCATTTGTCACTCGGCAGGCAGCCGGAGCTGGACGAGGGCAACTGGCTCCCCCCACCCAATTTAGGCTGACAGCTCCATCCATCATCTCCAAAGGGCTGGCCAGAAAGGGGAAGGGGGGCAGCTGGTGGAAAAAGGGAGCTGGCAGCCCCCCCAAGTCCTTTGGGGATCTAAATCATCTCCGTCATGGTCCTCAGCATTTATTATCGATAAAGGGGAGCCGACCTGCTGCCTTGGGAGCCCTGATGAAAATGAGCGGAGGCTCAAGATGCAATTGCTCAGAGGTCAGAATATCGTCCTCCTTCCCTCTGGCAAAAAAATAAATAAATGGAGAGGTGCATGTAAGAGCTGTTGCCAAGGAGAACACGAGATACTGGTTAGAGAAATCACAGAATTGTAGAGTTGGGAGAGACTCCCAGGGGTCATCTAGCCAACCCCCTGCAGTGCAGGAATCTCAGCTCAAGCACAGGGACAGGCGCCACCCAACATCTGCTTAGAAACCTCAGACAAAGGAGAGTCCTCCACCTTCCGAGGTCGTATCCATTCCGCTGCCAAATGGATCTTCCCACCAGACAGCTCTTCCCAGGTTTTAGTCAGAATCTCCTTTCTTGCCATTTGAATCTGTTGCTTCAGGTCCAGTCCAGCAGAGCAGCAGAAAACAAGTTTGCTCCAAGGCAACTGGGCCAGAAGTGCAGAGGAGACCTGGCCAGCTCAGAGCCCAGCAAGGCTGCTCAGACCCAAGCTGGTTGGCGGGAAGAAGAAGAAGAGTTTGGACTTGATATCCTGCCTTTCACTCCCTTAAGGTTGGCGGTTCGAATCCATGACGGGGTGAGCTCCCGTTGCTCGGTCCCTGCTCCTGCCAACCTAGCAGTTCAAAAGCACGTCAAAGTGCAAGTAGATAAATAGGTACCACTCCAGCAGGAAGGTAAACGGCGTTTCCGTGCGCTGCTCTGGTTCGCCAGAAGCAGCTTAGTCCTGCTGGCCACATGACGCGGAAGCTGTACGCCGGCTCCCTCGGCCAATAAAGTGAGATGAGCGCCGCAACCCCAGAGTCGGCCACAACTGGACCTAATGGTCAGGGGTCCCTTTACCTTTTAAGGAGTCTCAAAGCGGCTAACAATCTCCTTTCCCTCTTTTCCTTTCCTCCCCCCACAACAAACACTCTGTGAGGTGAGTGGGGCTGAGAGACTTCAAAGAAGTGTGACTGGCCCAAGGTCACCCAGCAGCTGCATGTGGAGGAGCGGGGAAGCGAACCCGGTTCACCAGATTACGAGTCCACCGCTCTGAACCACTACACCACACTGGGAAGAAATGCATCAATGTGCCTAACAGTTGAGGGAGTTTGGAGTGCCTGGCGTGACAAACAGGAGAGGAAGAGGGGATCTCACGGCCACCTTCAAATATATAAAAGGCCGTGATGTTTGTTTTTTGCTGCTCCAGAAGGGAGGACTCGAACCCGTGGCTTCAAATAGCAAGAAAGGCGATTCCAGCTAAAGAGCAGGGAGAACTTTTCAGGGTAAGAGCTGCTTGACTGTGGGGTGGTCTGCCTGGGAAGGTGGTGGTCTCTCCTTCGCTGGAGACTTTGAAGCAGAGGTCAGCTGGCCCTCTGCCAGGGAAGCTTCAGCCGATACTTAGCCCTGCCATTCTGTGATTCTTTGTAGTATTTCGTAGGGAATGATGGGGTGGGTGTGGATTGTGGCTAACATCTGCAGAGGCTCCTTCCCAAAGGAGGGGGGGGCAACTGGTAGGGCCAGGGTCTTAGGGAGAGAGTGGAAAAAAACCTCCTCTCTCTCCCTTTCTCCATGCCAGGCATAACGTTATAAATTTCTATCCGGCTGCCTCTCACACCTTTTCACCAAACTAAAAAGGTTCTCCAAACTAGAAAGTCCCAAACGCTGCAGCCTTCCTTCACAGGGGAGGCTCTCCATCTCCTCGATCGTTTCGCTTGCTTTTTTCTGAACCTTTTCCAATTGTGCAATATCCTTTTTGAGGTGAGCAGTACAGCTTTCCAAATGTGGTCGGACATTTGTACAATGGCATTACGATGCTGACAGTCTTGCTTTCAGTTCCTCCCGTAAGGATCCCTAAGGAGCTCCTTGCTGAAGCAACCTCCAAGGTCATTGCTCAAAGGGGCCAGAGGACAGGACCACAAAGGACCCTACCGGACCCCCATGGGGGAAATGCAGCAACTGGGGGAGGGGGCTGGGGGGCGCCTCCCCCTTGCTTTGTGCAGCAAAGTTCAGGGCCCTCCTCCCTCCATTCCCAGGCCAAAGCCCAGCTGGGAAGAAAAGGCTTGCTGAGAAATATTGGACACGGGAGTTAGGGGAGCCCCAAAGGACCCCCCTTGCAAAGCCAGGATCCACCCAAGAGAGGGCAGGATGGGGATTTGGGCATCCAAGAGGCAAAGGAGGAGGGTTACAGCTCAGGGAGAGAGATCCCAGCTTCAGTCCCAGATGGTGTTTGGAGGGAGGGCAGGGGGGGAAATATCCTGAGACTGAAACCACAGAGAGCTGCTGCCAGCCAGTGCTGAGCTACATGAGCCAATGGCGCAATACAGTTTCAGAGACTCGTGGGATTGTCAAGTTGAGAGGGACCCCAAGGGTCATCTAGTCCAGCCCCCTGCATCACGGCTAAAGAGTCGCTGACAGGTGGCACCCAACTTAAAAGCCTTCAAGGATGGAGAGCCCACCACCTCCCATGGAGTCTGTTCCCGTGTCGAACAGCTCATACCCTCAGAAAGTTATCCTTATGGCCCCAAATTTAATCCATCCTGAACCAGGAGGACTGGAATCTGGTTTTATTTGTAAACACACTGTAGCTCATTTGGAGAGTCCCTGCTTTGCACGCGCCAGGTCCCAGGTTCCATCTCCAGGGAGGTTTGGGGGGAAAGCCTCTTCCTCGAACCCTGGACAGCTGCTGCCGACCAGTGTAGACAACACTGAGCTAAATGCACCCAAAGTGACGAGGCCAAAGGGAGCTTCCTGCACTTCTGATATCGGCTGCTGAGGCCCAAAGGCCGACGTCAAGCAAAGGAGCTGGAGAGAAGCAAATTCAGCCCAGTTTTGACCCACCAAGGAAGAGAATTGATGCATCACTCCCCCCCCCCTTGCGATCTCTGTCTTAAGTTCTGTTTCTCCCTTGGGCGACAGAGGGTGGCTTGCAGGCCTGGAGCGCAGGATCACTAGACCCCCCTGGACCCCCCTCTCCCCTCCCTGCCACTCACCTTGCAGGGTCTCCCGTCCACAGTCTGCTCCTCGAACTCTTCCCCAATCTTGAAGCTGATCTCGGTGGTGCGGACGGTGGTCGAGGTCTTGATGTAGAAGGACTCCCCGTCCTGCTTGATCTCCACGGCCGGCTTGGAGGCAGCAGCCACAGCGATCTTGCGGAGCATGACATTGACGCCTGGAACGAGACAAGGCAACAGGGAGTGAGGAGAAGGCGGGTGGAGGCAGAACATAGCCTGACAGGTGGATCAGGCCAAAGGGGGCCCACCTGGCCCAGCCTGCTCTTCTCACCAGCGGCCCAATGACCCTATGAACCTAGGAACTCAGATAGACTGCCTCTGCACTTGGAGGTTCCACAAGAACGTCAGAAGAGCCCTGCAGCTGGATCAAGCCGGGGGGGGGGAGCACCCAAGACAGGAGAGTTGGAAACTCAACAGCATGGACGGAAAGGGACCTCACCCACCCCTTGCTTTCCATTCTTCCCTTCTCCCTGTTGAATTTCAGGGGGGAGCCCCTCCTTGGGGGGCTGTGAGAAAGAGCAGCACTCAGGACCTTGTGGGTGCAGAATCAGAAGGAGGTAGACAGGCAGCCCCTCCTGAAACACACACAATTTGGCCATCTCTGGGGAAGGCAGACTCAGCTGACGTTTAGGGTATTTTGGGTGCGCCTGCTTCTTCCGTGATCTTCCTGGGTCAGACTGAGTCACTAGGAAGTCAGTCTTGCACCCACAGCCATGTCTCATCGCAACAGCTTTCCAGAGAGAGAGAGAGACGCATGCAGAGGCAGCGTTGACACAACAACCTTGCACAAGTGTGCAATTGTGCAACAGACGGGCGAGGAAGGAGACGGCTCAGCAGCGTAAGCACCGTGAGAAAAAGGCTCCATCGGCTTACACTGGCGTAGCCCCACTGAAACCCCATGGGGCTACACCACCCACAGGACCGCACCTGCACTTGGTGGGAAACTGGCAGATGAGGGCGCTTGTCTGAATTAATGGGTCATTCAGAGTTTTGCTGCGATTGTCAAATTCAGCCTCTTGGGAAAAAATGAGCCAAAGTCAGTCCTTTGTTTTCCCGGTTCTGCCTGCAGAGGTGGCGCAGCTGTAGGAAAACTCACCCTTTCAGGGAGAGAGAGAGAAATGGGAGCCATCTCCCTGCCTGCCTCTGGGAACAATTATTGCAAAGGGAAATATTATTGCACAGCCCAGAGGCGTTCCAGGGTCCAGGCGGTGCCAAATTTCCCTTTTCGAAGACTGATTACAAGATGTGAACAGAGATTGTAATTTTATTAGGGGAGTGGCAAGGGTAAGGCCCTCATGAAGCGAGAGGGGGAGAGGGAGAGAGAGAGAAACTGCCTGGTGTTAGAAAGGATTTTTTAAAAAGGAAAATAAATTGGCATGTGGGGTTGCCAGGCCTGGAGTGCAGAGAGGAAAGTTTTCTCACGGAGAGAGCGGAGGGATAGAAGTTTTCCGCCCTCTCTCCTCTTGCTAGAAGGGGTGAACATGCAGTGATGCTGAATGTTGGGAGGCACCAGACACAGAAAAGAAAGCTCTTTGTCACACATTGCAGAGTTGATCTATGGAACTCCCTCCCGCAGGAGGCATAGATGGGCACCAACTGGGACGGTTAGACAAATCTGAGGAGAATAAGGCAATGGACAGCTCCTAGCCAGGCTTCTTGTCCTCAAATCCTGCTTGCGGGATTCCCAGGAGAGGCACCTGCTTGGCCACTGTGAGAAGAGGAGGCAAGAATAGATGGGCCCCCTTTCTCCTGATAAAGCAGCTGGGCTCTTGTGCTCTTGCAGCCACTGGCAGGCCGTTGTGCAACTGGTGAGGTTGGTAGGGAAGAGGAATCTTTGCCCTGCTCCAATAAAAACCAGCTTTGAAGGACCTGGAGCCCTGCCTCTCCGTGACCCTCATATGACTGAGGTTAGAGGACGGCCCACCCCGCCAGGGATGCTTTAGTTGGGATTCTTGCATTGCAGGGGGTTGGACTGGATGACCCCCTGGGGTCCCAGCTCTACAATTCTATGGCCCTCTCCAAGCAGGGAGAAAGAGAGTGAGAGAGAGCAGCCCCCCTCTTTGCGTTGCTAAAATGCCCATAAAACGCAGCTCCGAGGTGGAGAGCCAGGCCCCATTACTCCGTGGGGAAAAAGAGAGTGAGATTTAACAATGCTTTGGCAGCCAAGGTCTCCCCCTCCTCAAATCGGTTTCCTCATTCCAGCCCCCTCCCCAGGCCGGCTGATTCCCGCTTCCCCCTCCCCAACATCTGAGCCTTTCTGCCCGAATAATTCAGATATGGGGGAAGGGGGGGGGCGGGCGGGCTGAGGAGTGAAATATAAGCATGTGATAATTATCCCAAAGTATGTTGCACAAGCCCCCTAACCTGGAAAGTATTTGCTGTGACCAGCGCAGGGAGATGGGAGGGGAGGGAAAGGAGGTTTTCCTGGCGAGAAAACGAAAAAATGAAAAATACTAATAAATTGGTGGATTGGAATTCGCCTCCCTCGCGGGGTGGGGGGTGGGGAGAGGTGTTGCCCCACTTTCTTCCCCTCGATTTTGAGGGCCTCGTCCTCCCCCCAAGTCCTGCTCAGAGCATTGCATGCCAAGCGGGTTTCAGTTATGGGGCCTCAAGGTGGTCTCTGGAAAGGAGCGAGCGAGGCAGATCCATTCTCTCTCTCTCTCTCTCTCTCTCTCTCTCTCTCTCTCTCTATTGTTCCCGGAGAAAGAGGCTGGGGGCGGAAAGGGAATCTCTGCCGCTAATGCAGCCGGAGGGATTTTCCAAGAGAGGTAGGATGGCATCAGCCAGAGCGAGATGGAAAGATTTAAACTTTTCACTCATTCACGCCTGCCAAGATTGAAGCCCACACTGTAGATGCAATTCAGGTCAGTTGTTGGCACACGAAGACACAGGCTCTCGTTTCTAAAGGTTTCTAGGCCTCGTGGACCCAAGCTAGGCTTCTAAGCCGCGGTGGGCTGGCCATCTGTCAGGGATGCTTCAGCTGCGATTCCTGCATTGCAGGGGGCTGGACTGGATGACCCCATGGGGTCCCTTCCAACCCAACCCTTCTATGATTCTGTGCATTGCTACCCAGAGCTCCCAGAAGCACAGCTGAGCACCCCCACCGCAGCCTGTGCCTCCCCTCCACCCCCTGACTGGCAGAAACTCTCCAGGGTCTGGGGCAGGGGTAGAAAATGGAGGGGGTTGAACCCAGGACCTTCTGCATGCCAAGCAGCCAACCCACCGCTGCGTCAGGAGAGCCCTTCCCTGTTCCCAGCTGGGCTGCCTTGGCTCAGCTGGGAGAAGGTTGCAGAGAGGCAGAAGGGGAGGGGGCAGGGAAGGCCTTGGATCTGCTGTCCTGTGGAGTTGGGGGGCAGGTAGGAGCTCCTCCAGCCCCCCTCCTTAAGCTGCCTCCCTGGGCTGGATCCCAGGGGGCTGCTTCAAAAGACAAACACACCTCCGACTCGCCTGTCGCCACCTCCCCACCCCCAGCGGTGTGCGCAACCTCCTGCCCGGCAGATGGCAGGGAGCGCCAGGGGTCAGCAGTCGCGGCCCCTTCATCAGGCCTGGCCCCCATCGGGCATTATTATTAGGAGAGCGGCAGGAGGGGAGGCCAAGCCTGCCCCGCTCCTCCTTCTCCGCTGGGGTGGGGAGAGGTTATTTCAGGAGGAATTTGTCATTGCGGCGCCCAGAGCCAAAGGCCAGGGGACCCAGCAGTGCGCAGGCCTCCATCGCAGGCGGGATGCAAGAGCGGCCTGCCCCGGGGCCAGCTCAGAGCACGGGCCACTCCTGGCACGTGGCCTGGATGAGGCCCAACTCCTCCGGAGCAGACCGGTCCAGTCGCAGGAGCAAAGGAAACAGAGTCCTACGAAATCAGCCCATCCAGCTCAGCACTGTCTACACTGGCTGGCAGCAGCGGGTGTCCAGGGTTTCGGGAAGAGTTTATTCTCCCCAGGCCTTTCTGAGGTTGAACCCGGGGCCGCCTGCAAAGAAAGTGGGTGCCCTGCCACTACGAAATGAAGGTCCTTGTTCTTATGGTTCCAGATCATTATGTTCCATTTTAAATGGGGGCATAAGAAGCTATATTGAAGTCACGCCATCTAGGCTGCTATTGCCTGCACAGGCTGGCAGCAGTGCCTTCTCTGCAGGTTCTTAGGCAGGTTCCCAGCCCTACCTGGAGATGCTGCCAGCGAAAGTTGCACCCGGGACCTCCTTCTGTTGGAAATGCTGGGGTGCAGCTCAGCTTACATGAGGGGTCAGCAACCGTTTTCAGCAGGGGGCCAGTCCACTGTAACTCAGACCTTGTGGGGGGCCGGACTATATTTTTTGGGGGGAAATGAACGAATTCCTATGCCCCACAAATAACCCAGAGATGCATTTTAAATAAAAGACACATTCTACTCATGTAAAAACACGCTGATTACCAGACTGTCTGCGGGCCGGACTGAAAAGGCGATTGGGTCAGATCCAGCCCCTGGGCCTTAGTTTGCCTACCCCCGTCTTACACTAAGCCATGGGGAGAAAGAATCATAGAATTATGGAGCTGGAAGGGACCCCCAAGGGTCATCCAGCCCACCCCCTGCAAAGGAGATGGGGAGAGAGAGAGAGAGAGAAAGAAGAACCTCCAAGCTTCTGAGACCATCTTTCTGACCTGTCCTCAAACACTAGACAGATACACCTGGGGCTGCCAACCTCCTGATCCCATCCTGGGAGGAGATCCCTCTGCTTTGTCTGTTTCTCCTGCAGAGACAAAGCGGATTTCTGAATCTCCAACTCACTGGGACAGAACTAGGAATTCTTTCTCATGATGATCTTGGCTTCCTTGCTTCCGGCTTCAGAGCGCTGGCTTCCAGGGACCTATGTGTTCCCCCGAGGGATTTGGGGGCGCAGCTCAAGCTCCTGCTGAGGTGTAGAGACTCCAACCTCCTCAATCGGCCAAAAGCAGCTCCTTGCCCTCTCCATAGGATGGCTGTGTTCTGCAATGCTTCTGAATAATCCCAGTTGGAAGGAACTACTTGCCGATTTCCCACAGGCAACTTTTCAGCCCCTGTGAGGGCAGCAATCTGGGCTAGAGGGATCAGGGGCCTGATCCGGCAAGCTGTTCTTATGCTCACAGCAACCTTTTTGTTTTCAGGAGCTGCACTCTAAAGGGGATACAACGTGCCTTTTGTGGGGGTGGGGGGCAGGGGGGAGCCACCCAGAGAAGGTGCATTGGCCAGAACTGCCCTGCCCCACTCTGGATCCTGTAGTGGGGTCTTCACAATTCTGCAAGGTTGCAATCCTGCCACGAGGCGCCCAGAAGACCCAGATGGCTCTCAGGCAATGCCAAAAGGGCCGAGCCCTTTGCACACACAACCGCTTCCAGGGATCTGCCATTTCCCCCCTCTGAGTCCTGAGTTTCCCTCCTGGTTCTGGATGTGGCTTCCAAACCCTTCCAGAGGCACCCAGGTGGTGACTCAGCCGGCCACGTCAGAGGACAGGCAAAACGGGATTATGAGGATTTTATTGGGGGGGGGGCAGGGGTGGAATCCTAGGAAAGGCCCAGACGGTCAGTTCGCCTGAAGCCACCAAATTAAAACCTCATTTTTAAATAAAACAAATGGCTGGTCAGCCTTAAGAACAAACAAACATGGATTGTGAAATTCCTGCTGCAAAACTTGAACAAGTGCTGAGATGGTGGGGGCAGGGAGGAGCCGTGCTAAAAAGGGGGGGGGGGCTCATTTAGCCCAGCATCCTGCTTGCCCTGCCTGCTGCTTTGGATTAGCAGTCTGAGGTATACTGCTCCTGACCCTGGGGGCTCCACCAGAGCTATCAAGACTAATGGCAGTGGATGGATGCCGCTCCCCTCAATTCTCTATACAAAAGGGTAATATATGGGTCTCCTGCAGAGCCATTGTCGAAAAGGAAAGACCTACCATGGTTACACAGTGGGAGGGGGGCAGCAGCGCTAAACAAGCCCCTTTCTCTAATAGAATTGCCCAGAGGGGCGGGGGAGTCTCACGGGTCCCCAAATTGCAAACTCCTCTGGAGTGGCAATGCAAATTCTCAGCCGCGCTTCCCTCCCTCGCGGGGCTGTCGTGAGGATAAACCGGGGTTGCCGTTACTGTGAGAGACACAGTCGAGGAGGGGACCTCCTGCCTCCCGCTAAGTGGGGTTCAAGTCCCATCAGGCTAAGTGGGGTTCAATTCCACTGGGTCGAAGCCCACCAGTGCTCCCCAGTCCATCCGCCTAGGCTGGCAGGAGAGGAGCCGCCCTCCGCCTGACCAACCAGGGTGGTCCTTACAGCTGTTCACACGTTACAAAATCCGGTGGCTTCTCCTCCCGCAAGAAGCGGAACCCCAGACGCCCCCGCAGGGCGATCGCTCCAGCGCCAAACTTTGCTTCTGGGGTGACGGCGCGGGACACGGAGGCGGAGGCGGGTGCGTTCTTCTAAACACGCGTGAACACGCTGAAACTCCGAAATGGGAAGACGCGGGTCTGCAGGTTCTCCCCCTGCATGCAAATTAAGGCTCCCAACTGCACCCCCTTCTCTTCCCCACCCCAATAATATCATCCAAGGCTGCACATTGGGAACCTCAGGCGCCCCACCCCAAACAGCCCCACATCCTTCAGAAAGCAGGAGCCACGGCGGGTGCGCCAGACCTCTCCTATCTCTCCAGCTTATGTTCCCGCCCCCCAGGTTATCGAAAAGCAGCAGGTTTTAAGGTTGCAGAGCTGGAAGGGACCCCTAGGGTCATCTAGTCCAGCCCGCTAAGATGCAGGAATCCAGAAGGCGGCTCCCACTCCACATATGCCCGGATCCAAATATTGGAGCCATCCGGAAAGCCCCACTCTGTTAAAGGAGGGGGAGCCCTCCTCCCAGGGAGGCCTCCACGCGCGCCCCTGCCGGGGGGGACGGACGCATCCAGACAGGGGTCTAAATATAGAGGGAAAATAGAGCCGCTTTCGCAGCGCTGCGTCATGGGCTATTTCTTAGGCGCTGGACTCAGCCCTTCCCAGAAATAAGCCTCCTCCTCGGGCGCCAGACTCACCCAGAGCCTTCAGCAGCTCCTCGAAGTTCTCCGAGCTCTTCATCTTCCAGTTGCCGGAGAAGTTGGGCATTTTGGGGCGGGCGTTTGTCCGGCGGCGGCGACGGGAGCGGCAGCAGCGTCGGGAGACCGGCCGGCAGGCGGAGACGGAGGCGCGGCGCGCAGGTGGGACTCTCGGCTCCCTCGGAGGAAGCGAGCAGCCTCCGGAGCCAAAAGCAAGGGCGCTGCTGCTGCTGCTGCTGCGTCGCCTCTCCTGCGGATCGAGGCCCTCCCGCGCGGAGTTTTCCTCCCGCAGAGAAAGGATGGAGGGATGGAGGGATGGTGCGAATGAAAGAGAGCGACGGGGGTCCTGTGCTGCTGGGTCTCTCTCGCTTCCCCTTCGGAGCCTTTTCTCCCTCCTCTGCTCTGCCTGGTCCCTCCCTCTCTGCCCCAACCATGCCTAGGGGAGGGGGAGCCGCGGCAACATGATCCCACCCCCTCAACTGCCCCGCCCCTTCCCAGACCCACCTGGGTCCCGCTGACTGACCCTGCCCCAGAGCAGGAGGGGAGCAGCCCTCCCCAAAGCCCGGCTTCCCCCTTCTCTTCGGCCGGGGCTGCTGGGCTGCTACCTGGCTGCCTGCGAGTTCGCTCCCTAGGAAGCTGGAGGGCGAGGCTGGACCAGGACTAGCCTCCTGCCTCCGCCTTCTGAACTTTAGCGAACTCTCTGCGCTCCCACACCCTCGGCATCTGCTTCCAGAACAAATAGCGTCTAAGTCATCTGTTTTGACGGGGCCTGTTTCTGGGAAAGGAAGATGGCCGCGATTTCTGCACGGCAAGGGGTTGGACTAGATGGCCCTTGGGGGTCCCTGCCAAGTGCCAACTCTGCAGTTCCACGATTCTACGACCATGGCCCGGTTGGCGTTAGCCCCTGCTGGCAAAGTGGATCTAGTCTCGTGGGTGGAGGAGGGAAGACCACGGAATGAAGCCAGGACAAAGGGGCGGGGGTCCATGTGGCTGCAAATCTGGAGCAGGTCCTCCGGGGGCGCCATAGAATTGTAGGAGTGGAAGGGACCTCGTGAGTCATCTAGTCCACCCCCTGAAATGCAGGGATCACAGATCAAAGTGCTGAAATCGTATCTCTTTATGGATTAAACTACAGTCCCTGTGATTCTTTGCTGGGTGGGGGACTGTGCTTTAACTGTATGGTGCGTACGCAGCCAAAGAAAGCAAATAAATAGTGCCCGAGTTTCCTTTTCCTCCTCCCTCCAAATCCCTTTTCCTTTTCTGTCATGTCTTCTTAGAATGTAAATCCATAGGGCAGCAACTTTCTTATCAACCACATTTGTCAGCTGCTCTGGGATATGCAGATCAGATTTAGGCTCAGATGCCCTTCCTCTTCAGGAAACCCATCTGCAGGGTGGGGCACTGGCTAGAGGGTCAGACTAGGACCTGGGAGATGCGGGTTCAAATCGCCACTTGGTGTGACCTTGAGCCCCACGGTCCCTGCCTCTCGGTCTAACTTACCTCACAGGGTTGTTGCGATGAGTTAAATGAGGAGGCAGGAAACCATGGACTTCTGGGCGAGAATGGTAGAATATATGTGCAAGAGCAATTAAAATCAAAATTTATAAGGGCCAGCTCCCCCTCCCCATTTCAGAAAAAGCAGAAATCTTCTCAGTTGCTTTGCACATGATAAATTTGCAAACATCTTGCATCAATCCACATATTTGCGCAACCTGCGGAGGGTCCTTCCAATGGGAAATGGGAAATTAATGGGGGAAAGAAAGAAAACTGGTTTTCATACTCCCCCCCCTTTCCGTTGATAGATCTTGAAATCCCGAATGTTCAGTGGAGGTGATGGTGTGTCGCTTCCCCCAAAGCTGTGCCATCAATCGATTACACACACATGCAAACTACATACCCATAAAAAAAATGATTTCTGTGCCAGGAGTGAGGAATTAATTTAGATGCAACAATTAATCTAACTGTTGCTCATTCAGCAAAGTGCCCCCGCCCCAAATTTAAAGCAATTAACGAACGTTGAACATTACATTAAGGGAAGTCAAATTAACCCAAGCAATGAATCAGAAAGCAGACTTGCTGAGACTACAAAATTCAGGTTGCGGAAGGGTTGACTCCTGGACTCGTGCCTGAGGCCCAGGAACTCTGTGCTAACTCCCAGACACAATGGTGGGAGGGGCTTCACTTTAGGATTGGGATATTTCCACATTATAAGGAATGGGAATTATTTCAGCTTCAGGTCTGGGCACACCTGGGATTAAAAATCTGAGGAAGTCACAGGGTGGATATGAGACCTGTGTGAAATCAGGCCTCCCCCCTTTTTTAAAATAACTTTTATCATAAGAAAAGCAAGAAATAATCTTCCAAAATGACATATACAGCATTGATGGAACCAAACACATTGCCCATGCAGCATGATACAGAATTTCTGGGACAGGTGAGGAGGAACGGGTTTCTCTTTGGGGCCTCTGCCATTTAGGTAGCTCAGTCCTTTAGAATAAGAGAATTGCAGAGTTGGAAGAGACACCGAGGGTCACTGAGTCCAACCCCTGCAATTGCAGGAATCTCAACCAGATCACCCAGGACAGATGGCCCTCCAACCCCGCAACCTCTGCTTAAAAACCTCCAAGGAGGGAGAGTCCTCCACCTTCTTGTTACGGAAGGGGGGGCATGTCTTCTTGCACCCAGATTTTAGCCGTAACATTCTGAAGAATGCATTCCCCCTTCGAACTGCTCCGACCCCCAGAAAGTTCTTCCTGATGTTTGGTTGGAATCTCCTTCCTTATCATTTGATTCCACACACACACACACACACACACACACATTTTTTTTAAACATATCATTTCCAACAATCTTATAACATAACTTCTTATACAATATTTTAGACTTCTGTAAACACTTCTGATGATTTTCCATTCTTTATCACTTATTCTGCATTTCTTGATTTCTCTATTATCCTTCATTAACTAATAGTTCTCCTCATAGTCTTTCTTGCAATATTTCAAATAGTCCTCCTTACAAAACCTCTTGCAATCCTACTAGCATAATCTGTTCATTACAATTACTTTTCAAATAGTTCATATATTTACTCCAGTCTTCTAAGAATCTCTGGTCCCGCAGGTTTCGAATCCTTCCTGTTAATTTATCCAGTTCTGCATAGTCCATCAATTTCACCCACCATTCTTCTTTCTTTGGTAATTCTTCTTGCTTCCATTTTTGCGCCAATAATATCCAGTCTTCTTCCATTGGTTTGGGTCGTCCCCCCTGGAGCAGCAGAAAAGAATCTTCTCCCATCTTCCTTGGGGCAGCCCTTGAGATATTTGAAAACGGCTATCCTGTCACTTCTCTTCTCCAGGCTAAACACCCACAACGGCTCCTCGCAACTCTTGCCTTCCAGACCCTTGATCCTCTCAGCCTCCCTCCCTCCTTCCAGCTCCCATGCCCTTCTTCCACTGGGGTGCCCAGAACTGGACCCGGGATTTCAGCTGGGGTCTGACCAAGGCAGAACAGAGCGGGACTATTCCTTCCCCTCATCTAGACACTTTCTCTTTAAAGTCATGGCCCCCAACTCTAGGCGAATGTTGTGATGTCTTTGAAGGAAACTTTTATAGGTCCGCTACGTGGGCACACCTGGTTGCTATGCGTGTCTCATCATCTTCATAATTAATAAAAGAGATACCTTCACTCCAAGTTGCTGACAAGGAGTTTGCCACGACCGGGTTTCCTTGCTGCCTTAAGGGGAGTGTGTCAGTTTCTCCGTTACACTGCCAAGTCCCAAAGTTTAGCACACACCAGTTCTGGATATTGAGTCCCAAGGCAATTTTCCAGCACAATGGAAACACTTTGTACTGCCAGGAAGATGAACCTCATCAAGCCCTGAAAGGGTGCTTCTCCCGCACTGAGAAGAGTCTGGCTGCTGCTGGATCAGGCCAAAGGGAGCCCATCGAGCCCAGCAGCCTCATCTCACAGCGGTTAAATGCACCTAAGAATCTAGGATTGAGATAGACTGCCTCTGGACCTGGAGGTTCCACAAGGACATAAACAGAGCCCGGCTGCTGGATCAGGCCAAAGGGGACCAAATGCTCATGGAAATCTGCAAGCAGGATTCAAGCACAAGAGCAACTCTCCCCTCCTGCGTGTTTCCGCAACTGGTATCCAGATCTATTGCTGCCTCTGACATCCTTCGCCTCCATGAATTTGTCCAGCCCTCTTCACAGTCACCCAAGTTGGTGGCCCTCACTGCCTCCAGTGGGAGGGAGTTCCACAGTTTAAGGATGCGCTGCATGAAGAAGGATTTCCTTTTATCCACCCTGAATGGGCCAACCTTCGGCGTCAGTGGATGTCCACCAGTTCTAGTGACCATCTTGGCCATTGTGGAGTTTGGAAGACCCTCTCCCTGCCTTGCAGGCCTTTTCCCACCTGGCTTGGGAGGACGGGGCCCGGACTGACTCCAGCTGCAAATGCTGAGGCTGCTGAACAGACACGTTGCCATTATCAATCTTAATCCTTGTATCTTTATCTTAGATCTTATGATGATTTATGTGGAAATTGTTATTTAATTGAGCACGTTTGATGTTTCGTTTATTGTTTATGACTACCTTTATTATGCATGTAAGCAGCCTTGAGCATGGGCTGAATTATGGCAGGCGGGATGCAAATAAAGTTATGCATGCAGAAGGGAGGGGAAACTCTTCTCTACCTGCCTTCTCCACGCCAGGGCCCCTTGCCGCTCGAGAAGGGAGGCAGCAGGAGCCAGCCGGGGCCACAGAAGGAGAAGGAGACTTCGACAAGGCCGGTGGCTTTGATTTTAACTCCCCTGCCCTTTAGGAAACCTTCGAAGCAGCCAGGTTCCTCCTCCTCCTCCTCGTCTCTCAGCCTGGCTGCCTGCCTGGGCTGTTCAGCTTCCTCCCAGAGGGCAGCCTGTTTCCACATGCCCAAGTAGATCACCAGGCGAGCTGCCGTAAGAAGAGTTTGTCTGTCTGGTGGATTTGATAATCCCGCTTTGGGCCAGGCGGGGAGATAAGCCGTTTTCTCTCTCCGACTTTCCCAGGGGGATGGCGGAGCCTGAAGGAGTTAATAATATAATAATAGGAATAATAATCGGAATAATCTAGAGAGGAGAGAATGCAGGGCTGACCACAAGGGTGTCTGAGTAATGCTGGCAGGGATGTTGCTGCTTTCTCCGGAGTCATGGCGGATCATCTCCACAAAAGCAGATGGAGGAGCAGTCTGGAAAGGGCACAAGAATCTGCAATGACATCAGAGCTTCCACAGCCCAGCGCAGGCGACACAGGGAGGGAGGGATCCATCAGATCACAGCTGCCCCTGTGGCCCCGGGTGCAACCCGAGATTCATCTGGCACCCAGAGACTCATGACACGCACACACACCTTGCTTCCTCTTAATAATCTTAGGATTGTAGAGTTGGAAGGGA